GTTGGGCTAAATCACTCCAAAGATACTCTTAACTTGATGTACTATTATCCGCTTTAGGCCAAGCTTGCACGATTTTTACCAAAATGTCTCACACCATTAAGGGGTCGTTTGGTATGAGGTATAAGAAGGTATAGTGCTGGTATAAAATTTTAATACCACCTTAATACTTTGTTTGGTTAGCAAACTTGGTATAAGTTATTTCGGGATTATAATTAGTACCGGGATAACTTATACCTTGTAGAGGGTGGGGTAATTAGTGTCAGGATAACTTATATCTTCTTTTTAGAAATTATGCAATTGTTATTTTTAATACAACATACCAAACAATAGATAAAAAACAATACCAAGATAACTTATCCCAGCATAACTAATCCCGGCATAACTTATCTCAGCATAACTTATCCAGCATTAGCCGTATTCAAACCAAACGAACCCTAAGAGTATTTACGCACCTTATGTGTAACTTCCTATTCTTTTCCACTACTGATGTGAAACGTTTTTTGCACACCCAAAAAATTATTATATAGTTATTGTCGTTATTGTTGTTATTTTAGTTCGAAGGCAGCTTAATTCTAAGTTCTCAATTTTTTTTTAATTTTCTTTTTGAATGAATTTGAACAAAAAAGAGACGCATCTCACAAGCTAGAGAACTGAAGCTAATTCAAGTTTTATCAGGGAGGGGTAAATTCCTTGTGTTGAAGAAGCTAAATTGATGTAAAATACTATAGTGACTCATTGGTTCAAGAACTTAAAATCCCATGAATTCTTTAAGTATTCACGGTTAGAAATTATAAATTGTCTAAAATTTTGGTGAAAATTAAAGGATATAAATCATAAAATTTTACTAACCCGAAATACATGGAGAAAATCAAGGTACATTTTTTCCATTGATTTCTCATACTTCTTTGCCTTTCTCCTTTCATTAAGCACCATTTCTTTAAATCAAAGGTATTTCAACTTTATTGGATCAAGTCTTAAAGGGTAGTTAAAGGATAAGAGATAATAACAGAATAATTGTGTGCATTGTTATTACTGGATTTCAGATCTTATTTAAAGAGAAAGATCCTTACATTTACAATATTATTGAGTATAAATAGGTGCAACAATTTTATAATCCAAGTCAGGAAATTCAGGAAAAATGAAATTTGTTACCACTAAGGAGGTATGTTGGGATGGATGAAATATTTCAATCCTTAGTTACAGATTTCGAGTTCGAGCTGAAAATGGATAAACCTCCCAAGAAGCGTTTTTCGTCTAATGAGCTCTACCACTACTAAAAATTCGGACAAAATCGTCCCAAAAAAAACGACCAAAATGGGTCGGTAATGGCCAATAATCGTCCAAAACGTGACCATTTACGTGTGGACGGTATTTTGAAGATAAAAAAAATGGTCTGTCAATTAAATTCAAAAATTCCGACCAAAGTTGGTCGGTATTTTAATTATGTAATTAAAAAATACATCATCTGGGAATTGAACCGGGGTCTGTACTGCGGCAGGATACTATTCTACCACTAGACCATTGGTACATTTTGTTTTAAGACTGACTTTTATTTCATTTATACTCTTTAATTGTATTTTCGCACGAAAATAACCGACCAAATTTGGTCGGTTTTATTAAAAATAAAATTACCAACCGAATTCGGTCGGTTTTTTAAAATGACCGGCCGAATTAACCCACCAATTTCGGTCGATTTTTTTAAAATTAATTTTAATTTATTTTAAATGAAAAACCAACCAAAGTTGGTCGGTTTCTTGAAAAATAAATTTTGCGGGACTCAAAAATAGTTTCCCGCATTTTTGCGCCAAAGAAAACCAACCAAAGTTGGTCGGTTTCTTGAAAAATAAATTTTGCGGGACTCAAAAATAGTTTCCCGCATTTTTGCGCCAAAGAAAACCAACCAAAGTTGGTCGGTTTCGTAAAAATAAATTTAAAAAAAATATTTTGAAAAACCGACCAACTTTGATCAAGTTTTTGCCGAATTTCTAGTAGTGTACCTAGCACGAATACGAATTAAATGGGTCAAGAAATCCGGGATAGCAAGATGAATCAAAAAAGACTCTCTTTTAGGATCAGCTAATCGTTGAAGTCTGATTATAATAAACTTAATTTTAATTTCTTTTTAAAAGATGGAAACAAGTATATCTAGTATTGAAAGAAAGAAATGAAAAGTCACTTATTTTAAATTTTAAAAAATTACATAGAAAAAAAGGGAATTGAATAAACCAACAAGATGGTTTTAGAATCATATATCATAAAAATTAACAAATTAAAGCTTTTGAGCAAGTTGCACCTTTGCTAGTCATACAAATTAAAGGGGGGAATAGTTAACAACCATTTATGAGCTCGCCAACTTGAGCTTATTGACTTTAAAATTATATACGAAGAAAACTATTGATGGGAGGATATTCAATAGTAGGTAAGTCAAATAATCAAAACTTAAGAAGACGCCTCAGTTTGATTGGAACTTTTTTCATTTTTTCAGCACACAGCTAATAAGCTCATAATTTTAACATTTAAGACATTGATATTTCTTTAAAAAGTACTTTCAGTTCTGTAATCTTTAAAAGCGCAGCTCAATGCACGAAGCATCTCGTGTTCATGCAGGGTTCGAGAAAGGACCGGACCTTAAGGGGTATGATGTAGATTGTTTACTCTGATACAAGCATTGGTGGTTGATTCCATGGCTCGAACTCGTAACCTATAGGTCGAAGACAATTTTACCATTTTTATAAGGCTCTTCTTCAGTTCTCTATAATCTTTGACCTCAAAAAAAGAAACAATTTTCAGAAAAAGAAACTTTAACATTGTGTAAAGGAGATTTCAACGGCTAATAAAATTGTTTAAGAAGTCAGTCGCCACATAGAGTTTAGGTTAGAAGCTTTAATTTGTGCAATTTTAATCTTTTCTTTTTCTAGAGTAAATGTCTCTTTTCAGGTGAACCAAACCCAACAATATGTGTTAAGAAATTTATATTGGTAGAAATGAGCAAGAAAAATAAATTATCGTAGCTGACTTTTTTATGGCATAGTTAATTTATTAGAATTTGAAAGGAACTGTGATGTTCATAGAAAATTGAATAGTTGCTCAGTTTTAGAAGTACTATATTTATACGGTACTCCCTCGTCTCAAATTATTTGTAACTTTTCGTTTCTTAAGATTCAAATTATAATATGACCAATATTATAAAATATATTTTTTCATATTGACATGAAAAGATTTATAACTCAATACTTCTCATAAAGTTTTTGAATACCTAAACTTTAATTTTAAAAATATGTTAATATAATATAATTTAGCTTCAAGAATTAGTTAACTTGACTTTCGAAAAGAAAAAGCAACAGTTATTCTGGAACAAAGGGTGTATATATATTCATATATTTATTGTTCAACTCTTTGCCAAATTAAAAAATAAATAAATAAATAAATAAAAAGCAAAAAAGAGGCGAATTTATGAAGGACATGATACATAAATGATGGAGAGAATAAAGAGTAACGTGATTGTTTGACTTTGTAGATTTTGACTTTTGAGTTCCATATCGTCATTGCTGTTGGTTAAGCAGATTAGTTGTCTTCAGATTTTATGGTCTTTATTATACGTAGAATTTAATGCCCGCCCAAAAAATATTATGGTCTAGCCAAAACCACAAATAATTCACGTTACTTATTATACGTAAATATCTTCTCTCCTAACTATGTATAATAAATGCCACAAAACTATGGCCTTTATTGTACGTAAATATCCTCCCTTCTAACTACGAAGACAAATGTTTCCTTCAATTTAAACTTTTTGCTTTTACTTTTTGCTGTTTGACCTTCTTAATATGTGAGTCATGACTTACCGCAACTAATTATGGAAAGTTGAACTTTAAGGAAGAAATGAAGTATTAAAACTTTATGACAAAATTACTTTTTTTTTTTTTAAATATGTGTTTTGACGGATTGGTCGCTTAAGATTGTTTGATCATGTCATGAGTCGATATCTAAATATATCGATTATCAAGTGTGAAACTAATCATGACGAGCGAAGGTGGTAATAGGAAATGAAGTAAACCTAAATTCATAGTATATATGAAATAAAGTTATCTCGAAAGACTTATAATCTCTTGAAATTTATGCAGATTTAGTAAAAAAATATGATACATCTTTCTATATTTTGAATTTTTTGTTAAATTTGTACGGCATATTTACCCTTAATAATATACGTTTATAGCAAATAAATTATCCTGGCGTGTTTAAGATCATAAAATCTAAAATCACTTAGCCCAAAGTCTTTCTTTTGCAAATACAACGTTAAATAAAAACTGTCCTATAAAATACGGTTGATGAAGTAATAAATATGAATATGGACAAGCCACTAGTAGTTCACATTCCATGCACTTTATGATCCACCGAAGTAAAAGTTGGATTATTGTGACATTGAAATACCACAAATCCCCTTCACCCTCAAAGTAGATGTCAGTCACTATTGTCAAAAACATTTATAACTTTCTAGTATATTTATATAAATGTATGAGCTAAAATTTGAAACTTATATCTTCAAAATTATAGTCCTTCTAAATTATCGAGTTTTAAATTAATAATTTATACTATATAGTTCAATAAATTTCTTTTGACAAAAATAATATTTGGACTAAAATTATTAAGTTGGGTCATACCCACATTCAAAAGGCTAGTTCCGCCCTGGATCTACATTTATTTTAATTCCTATGGTGTACCTATATTTAAACATTATATCTCTCCTATCAGTAAATATACTACAAAATTAGTTCTCTTTCAAACCATGCACTATATTTATATACAAATATTATATATTCATTTTCTTTTCTTCGAGATCTTCATGCGATCTTTCACAATAAAATATTAATCTTTTTCTTTTGGTCTATACTTACCCAATCATAATATATACCATAGGCTAGCTTTTGTTCTTATTTATACCCTGATCTTTATACCAAACAAAAACGCAAATTTTCTGAAATTTTGTTCATGCAAAAGATTTCATGGAACTAGCAGTTAACTCAGTGACTCATATTTTCTTGATTTCCATTTTTTTGACAAATTTTTGCTGGTTTAATATTGGAGCTGAAACATCCAAAGAGCTTTTCAAAGGATTTAAAGCAACCCCAGATCCTCATATTTCAACTTTTCAACCTCTTCTTACTGATTCTTCTGGTAATTACTCACTGAGTTTTCTCCGAGTTGAAAAAGATCAACTCACTCTTTCTATTATTCATGTTCCATCTTCTGAGTCAATATGGGTTGCTAACTTGACCCATTTTGCAAGATGGGCTGACCCGACTGAGCTCTTGTTTAATGGCAGTCTTGTGCTGTCGGATTCTCGTTCAGGGGTATTTTGGTCAACTCAGACTAATGGAGACCGTGTCTGGCTTTCAAATGCATCAAATTTGCAAGTCCAAAAGCTTGATAGTGGAATGAGGTTAAATTCTGTTTTGTGGCAAAGTTTTGATTTTCCCTCAGATACCCTTGTGGAAAATCAAAATTTCACAAGTGCCATGACATTGGTTTCGTCCAATGGGCTTTATTCCATGAGTTTGGGCTTTGATTTTTTCGGGTTGTATGCAAAGTCCAAGGACGAACCGGGTTCGGGTCGGATCTACTGGAAGCACAAGGCATTAGAAGCAAAGGCAGATGTTATTGAAGGTCAAGGACCAATTTATGCTGTACTAAAGTCAGATGGTTTTTTTGGTATGTACCAAAATGAGTCAGTTCCAGTTGATGTAGAATCTTTTAACAGTTTTCAACAACCCGTATCCGGTGTCCGTCGGATCCGGATCGAACCGGATGGGAATTTAAAAGGATATTTTTGGGCCGGGACAAGTTGGATATTGGACTACCAAGCAATAAAGGAGACATGTGAATTACCTAGTCCTTGTGGTATATATGGACTTTGTCAACCGGGTAAAGGTTGCTCTTGTCTAGACAATAGTACGGATTACAACTCCGGCCGGTGTGTCTCGCAGGAAAATCAAGACTCCGGCGACTTTTGTGGGGTGTATGATCATAAAAAGTACAAGGGGTTGTCAAGAAATGGTGTTGAATTGCCTAACAAGGAGTTAATGACTTACCAAAAGATGGTTTCTTTTCAAGAATGTCAAAGTGCATGTGAAGGGAATTGCACATGTTGGGGTGTGGTGTATACTAATACATCTGGATTTTGCTACATACTAGACTACCCCATACTAAGCTTAGTAGGAGTAGGGGATGAGTCCAAGATGGGGTTTTTCAAAGTGAGGGAAGGTGTAGGGAAAGATAAGGTGGAGGTGGGGTTAGGGGTAGGGATAGGGTTATTATGTGGGGCCATCTTGGTATTTGGTGGGGTCATAGGGTTAGGGTTGTATAGATATAGGAAAAGAAAAAGAGGTGTGAGTGGTTATGTAGAAGAAGATGGAATGGTAGTTGGACCATACAAAGAAATGGGAAATGCAAGTTTTAGGTCAATTGAACTAAGTGAAAGATGAGGTAAGGGATGACATCTTTTAAGATAGAGACCTCATAAGCATACTATATTTTTACTATATATGGTGGAAGTGGGGCCCTTTAGGAATTTTGGCAAGTGGGGCCTACTTCTTCTCATGTGTGAAAGTGCTTGTGAAATGAACATTATCTTATCACAAGGTGGAAAATTGGTGGTCAAAGGACAAAAAGATTAAAGTGGATTTGCTCTTTGTTTTTTCCTACTTGTGACATGGTTTTAGTAGTTATTAGAAAATGACAGACATTGTAAATTGTATTTCTTAGTGACTCTTATCTACACGACCAAAGTCACCAAACTTCATTAATGCTTTGTGATTTTTGTAAAAAAATCAGAGTTATTTCATCAATACAAACTCCCCATATAAATTATGTTCCATAGTTTTATGTTCTTTCTCTCTTGGAATCATAGGTAAATCTAGAATTTAATTATAGGATTTAATTATGTGAGTTCAAGATTTTGATTTCAATCACAGAAATTCATCACCTTGTTTGAATTGTGGGTTAGTTACTCAATTTTTCAATAATTTTAGTAAATTTTTATTGAAAATCTATGTCTAGGATAAAAGAATCCATAGATGAGCTGTTGGATCTGCCCTTATATGGAATGTCACCTTTGTCGATGCTTCTTCGTCCCATGGGTTATTTTTGTTGTCTTTTATTCAAAACTATTCTTTAGATTAGCGTCAAAGTAATATACGTAGACTTTAGTACTCATATGTTTCATTTATGTAATATTTTTTTTCGTATATTTCAAAAAGAATAATACCTTTTATATTTTAAAGTTCTTTAATTTTAAATGTTACCTTTAAAATGGTATGGTGTTGAGAGAATTAATTTCAGAATTTACGTTTTGATTATTTGGAGGCAGGTCCACATTTTTTGGTAAGGGTGGGCATTTGGGCAAATCGGATTTGATATGGAGGTTTCGGTTTGGATTTTTGATTTTCGGATTGAAAAAATTATAATCCAAATTCAATCCAAATAAGAACGGATTGGATTGGATTTTTTAAGTTCGATTTCGGATTAATCGAATTGGATATTTCGAATTTCGGTTTTGAGCCGATAAGTTGAGATTCGTTTTTCATAAAAAGGAAAAATCCAATTAAATTATTTATGTCAAACTGTCCTAATAGTAAGGCCCTGGAATTAACAAATCAAACTGTCATGACCCGAAATGTCCACCTTCGGGACAGTGATGACGTCTAACATTTCACTTGCTAGGCAATCCAACGTTAGAATTTAATTAGCCATTTTAACAAATTTTTAAATTAATTAATAATAAGAAAACAATGCGGAAATACAGTCTGAAATAAAGTAAAAAATTCATAATAATCGCGATATCTAAATACCATCCCAGAACTGGAGTCACAAGTGTACGAGCTTCTAGAATAATACAAATAAAGGTCTGAATAAAATTCAAATTGTTTGAAATATAATACACAATTGAGATAATATAGAAGGGGACTTCAGAACTGCGAACGTTGTGTAGTTATACCTCAAGTCTCCACTGGTAGATGTATCCGGGCAAATCTAAAGTATGCCGCTGGGACCAACTCCGAAATCTGCATAAGAAGTGCAGAGTGTAGTATCAGTACAACTGACCCCATGTACCGGTAAGTGCCGAGCCTAACCTCGACGAAATAGTGACGAGGCTAAGACGGGTCACTTACATTAACCTATACGCAATAGTAGTAATAGCAACAATAATAATAACGGGAATATTAGTAAGACCAGTAAATAATATTAATGATTGAAATCAACTCAACAGTCATAATCCCTCAACTTGTTTCCATTGCAGCGTGCAACCCGTTTCCCCAATATAAACTTTAAATAAATCTGTTGCGGCATGCAACCCGATCCCCTAATATATTTTAACAACTCATAAATGCAATAAAAATTACTCCAATAAATACCACGTTCAATGAGAAACTACTGAGCAATAAGGCACACAATAATTATAATTTATTTATAAAACAAACAACGACAATTAGCAATTTATTTATGGAAATCAGGGAGAAAATATGCAGTTTAATATTTAATATGCTAAATGGTAAATAGCAATTAAGACACATAGTCAAATAAGCATGTAACAATTATTGCAGGAATTCAAGAATTTATATTTGACAAGAATATGAGTGAAACAATTATTATAACGATTAATTCGTGTCTTAAAACAATTTAGGATGTTTAAGTAATTAAGCTAACAATTAATTTGAAAAAGTATAGGTACCCGTCATCTTGCCTATATATCGTTACACGTAAAATTCACATAGAAAATAATTCAAGGATTCTATTCCCTCAAGTCAAGGTTAACCACGACACTTACCTCGCTTTGCAACCAAATTTCAAGAATCCAATAAATCTTTGCCTCGCGCATTCGTGTCCGAAATCCTCAAATCTAGTCATAAATAATTTAATATACTCAATACAAATCGTAGGAATTAATTCCATATGAACTTATAAATTTTTCGGATAAAAATTCAAAATTCATTTTAAAAATAAACAGTAGGACCCACACGAGTTCAACCATACAAAAACTATCGAATTCCGACATCGAATTGGCTTTCAAATCTTCATTTTACATTTTTGGAAGATTTTATAAAAATTTAATTTTTCTTCCACAAATTCACGGATTCATGATGTAAATGAGTATGTAATCATGAAATATAATTTATATAGGATAAGGAACACTTACCCCAATATTTTCCCATGAAAATCGCCCAAACATCGTCTTACCCGAGCTAAAAATCGAAAATAGTGGAAAATGGGTCGAAATCCCATTTCCAGAACTTAAGTTCTGTTTGCCCAGATTTTCACTCATCGCGATCACGGAAATTCGTTCGCGATCGCGTAGAACAACTTTTGCCCAAGTCCATTTTACTCTTCGCGATCGCGGGAATGGCTTCGCGATCGCGAAGCACAATTTTCACAGGCTGCCAATTTGCACTACGCGAACGCGATATCCCATACGCGAACGCAAAGCATAACACCGTAGACCTACGCGATCGCGGACCGTTTCATGCAAAAGCGAAGAACAAATTTTAGTTCCCCACCTTCTGCCGCATTTCCTTTTCGCGAACGCGGCTTGGCCCTCGCGTTCGCAATACACTGGAAGTTAACCTTACGCGATCGCATACCTATCTTCGCGAACGCGAAGGGTAAAACTCTCGGCTAACAATTTCCTCTTCGCGATCGCATGAATAGCTTTGCGATCACGAAGCACAATGCACCAGATGACAGCAGAAGCTAAAAACCAGATTTTTCTCAAAGTTCAAATGGTCCGTAGGCTATCCGAAACTCACCTGAGCCCTCGGGCTCCAAATCAAACATGCACGCAAGTCCAAAAATCTCATAAGAACTCGCCCGCATGATCAAAACACCAATTTAACACCTAGAATTACGAATCGGATACCAAATCAAATGAAATTTTTAAGAAAACTTTAAAACTTCTATTTTCACAACTGAACATCCGAATCACGTCAAATCGACTCTGTTTCTCACCAAATTCGACAGACAAGTCATAAATAACATAATGGACCTATAAAAAATTTTAGAACTCGAATCTGATCCCGATATCAATAAAAGTCAATTTGTGGTCAAACTTTGAAATCTTTAAGCCTTTAGGCTTCTAGGCTTTGCCAATTGGTGATATTTCAAGCTGGGGACCTCCAAATTAAATTTTGGGTATATGCCTAAGTCCTAAATCACGATACGGACCTGCCGGAACTGTCAAAACACTTATCCGAGTCCGTTTGCTCAAAATGTTAACCAAAATCAACTCAATTGAGTTTTAAGGCTATATTTCATATTTTAATTATTGCTTTTAAATAAAAACTATCAGAAAAATTATACGGACTGCGCACGCAAGTCGAGGAATAATAAATAGTACTTTTTGAGGTCTTAGAATATAGAAATAATTATTAAATTTAAATATGATATTTTGGGTCATCACATTCTCCACCTCTAAAACAAACGTTCGTCCTCGAACGGAATTAGAAAAAGTATCTAAGCTGGTGAAAAGGTGTGGATATTTACTCTGCATGTCCGACTCGGACTCCAAGGTAGATGCCTCTACCGGCTGACCTCTCCATTGTACCCAAACTGAAGGATAACTCTTAGACCTCAACTGTTGGACCTGCCGGGCTAGAATAGCTACAGGCTCCTCCTCATAAGTTAAATCCTTGTCCAATTGGACTGAGCTGAAATCTAACACATGGGACAGATCACCATGATACTTCCGGAGCATAGACATATGGAACACCGGATGAACCGCTGATAAACTAGGTGGTAATACAAGCATGTAGGCTACTTCACCCACCCTTTCAAGAATTTCAAAGGGTCCAATATACCTAGGGCTCAACTTGCCCTTCTTTCCGAACCTCATTACACCTTTCATAGGTGAAATCCGTTTCTCTAACCATGAATGCAATATCACGAACTTTACGGTCGATATAACCCTTTTGCCTAGACTGAGCTGTGCGAAGTCGATCTTGAATAACCTTGACCTTATCCAAGGCATCATGTACCAAATCAGTACCCAACAACCGAGCCTCTCCCGGTTTAAACCATTCAACTGGCGAACGACATCGCCTTCCATATAATGCCTTATATGGAGCCATCTGAATGCTCAATTAGTAGCTATTATTATAAGCAAACTTTGCAAGTGGCAAGAATTGATCCCAAGAATCTCCAAAGTATATAAAACAAGCGCGAAGCATATCTTCTAATATCTGAATGGTGCGCTCTGAATGTCCGTCTGTCTGTGGATGAAATATTGTACTCAACTCAACCTGCGTTCCTAACTCACGATGTACATCCCTCCAGAAATATGAGGTAAACTGCGTACCTCGATCTGAAATAATAAACATGGGTACACCGTGAAGGCGGACAATCTCACGAATATAAATTTCAGCTAATCGCTCTGAAGAATAGATAACTGTCACCGGAATGAAATGTGATGACTTGGTCAACCTGTCCACAATGA